TGTTATTAACCTTCATACTCAAATTTGGAAAACATTACAGGTGAAAACAAAGATGATCAATTCAGCTGGAGCAGATGTTATACAACACATGATTGACAATTTTGAGCCGTAGTATGAACTAATTTATCGGGAGATGGCGTTTCCTAACAAGCTAAATTCACTAGGGGAAATGTATCAGTCATTTTACAAAAAAAAATGCTGACACATCTGTTTTGTTTGTTTCATAGTTACCAGAAAACAATGAAAAATAGTCTTAGCTTTGGTTACAACTTCCAACAATAAAAAAATTTGTCTTTTGATGATTTATTTGTTTTGAGTATCTTTTATAGAATGAAAGGAATGCAAGAAATGGTTTCCCTGTTCTACACAAAGTCACAAAGAGATGGTATGTTGACTTAACTCTATTAACCATAGATTGTACAATCAGAATCTACTAAAGCACTAATACACTAAACTCAAATCTCTGCCAATAGCAATAGAACAACACTTCAATAATCCATGATTTGGTTTAGTTAAACAAACAAAAAAATCCATGAAGTTATAGTATTCTCGTAATTCAATTTGACAGGAAATGGCCTAAGGCGTAGATGAATGAAAGAAAGGTAGCCAAGTATAACGGTTTGTTTTCGAGGTTGAATGCACAAAGAAAGCAGAGAGTGCAGGTCAAGAGTGTCCATACTCCAAATGTACGTCCATGAACTTCACTCACTGCAAAACAGAAAGAAACATTTCAAGTCACGAGGAGGGGACTAAGTTTGAGACTTTAACTATGTGAATTAGTCCTTTCTGGATAAACCCTTTTTGTTTCCTATTCTCCAGTTGCTAATGTAATGCAAAGTTATTACTCCTTTCTGTTATAAGAATCGATAAACTAAACATTTCGGTGACCATTCCCCTTGTAAGCTGGTAAATTCATGAACCACAATTTACAAAAAAGAAAAGAAAAACTTTTGTTTTGTTAGATTGATTTCCTGTTTCGATAACCTTTTACAAACTTTGAAACTGATTACTATATGGAATTGCTTTAAAATCAGTTTTAGCTCTGAAATCCTTCTTCTTCTCTTTCTGTTCATATTACTTTATCTATATGAATTTTGGTTATCTTTTAGTGTATGAGAAATTTGAGTGATGTTTCTGGATGAGATTTTGAAGCTTTGCCTTGCCATAGTTGAGATTTCCAGCGGCAGGGTTGAGCTCAATACGTGTACACGTTTCAAAGTTTTTTTGGGACTTAGGGTTTCAAAGTTTTTCTAATTTCTTGTGATGCAAATAATAGCTAAAGTAAGAACAAGTATCATTCAAGTGAAGAAGCCATCCGCGCAAGAAAAACAAAGACAATGGCTTGTATGTTCCAAATGTGTCTACACGATAACAAATTTATATAATGTCGATCTTTACGTATCAAGTGTTGTAAGAAGTTTAAAGTGCAGATGTTAGTGCAACTGAGAGAGTAATCATCGGAGAAGAAGACGAAATATGAAAATGGGCAAGTGCTGAATAGTTCATATTTCAATCCATAAATACCAAAATTAAACAAAAAGATCCACTCTTTAAGCAATGTAAGCAAGAACTTGAGTTTTGGTATGGTTTCTTCTGAGTTTCCATTGTTTGATCTTTGTCAAAGTGTTCTCAACTTGTAAAATACGAGCTTCAAGCTTCAATGCTAACTCCTCAAATGCAACTTTTCTCTGCTTCAATCTCTCATCGTTTTTTTTTTCTTCTAAGTTACTCCATTAGAAGCAACATGAAGTTTACTACTTTCTCCTTCGGCTTTCTCTACATCATCACTACACTTCTTTCTAGATTTCATAGCCTGAGCAACGGTAATGTTATCATCTTGTGTCTAAAAACATTCCATGGCACACTTTCTACTTATCAAATTTATATAATGTTGATCTTTACTTACCCTCCGAAGTAACAACTTCCACTGTGTAGCTCCCATGGTAACATCTAAACTCCAACCTTCCATCACTCCATCCACCAATGTTAACCACTCACGTTTGATCTCAAGATACCTCTTCCCAGCTTCGTTAATCTCTCCGTCTGCATTCACCAAATTTGAATGCTCTCTGCTCATAAACATCTCCAAGAATCCCCAAAGCATCACTCCTTCAACCGCTGGATGAGCAAACGCTTCCCATAGCATCACCTCGAGTAAGAAAATTGGTTCTCAGCTGCTGCTTCTAGCTCAGAATCACTCAGCTGTTGGACCCACGGTTGAATAGCTGACTCGACCTCCGATGATATGCAATGGCCTCGGGTTTCTTTGTCATTCTTCTCGCATAATCTGAGCATCTCGTCCGCGTCCCGGTAATCGAAGTTGCCTTGCTCTGGCTCTGTCCAGTACATCAATAAAAACATCAATCCTTGGTGGGGTCCTTCAGTGTAAACAACTGCTCTAGTTGAACAACATAAGATGTTTCATAAATGATTTTTCGCTCAGTACCGCTCCACTTATGCGTGCGCTCTGTTGCAGAAGCAAAACACGTTCGAGAATGCGGTTGTATCTTCCCATCAGCTAGAGACTCATGTAGCATCCTCTTCCCGACCAATGATTGAGGCCATCGGAAAAGCTTGAATTCAGGAAAATTTGATGATGATTTGTCATGTAAATGTACTTCCAGTCTTAGAGTAGATAGGGATCGATCCACGAGTCTATCCCAGGGACTTTAGATCCAGATACCCTACCCAGGGAGTCACTAGGACAACCCCACGAGTGTGACGAGTAATGTATTATTATCTACTTAACCTTTAAAAACAACTATGGGCTTTTTACTGCAGCGGGCTTAGGCTTCTTCCTTCGACATTATCTAACTAATATTTCACTAACCATAAAAGAATACACAGCTAGTGCATTCGACATTATCTAATTAATAGACCATGGAGCTCAATTTACAAGACGAAGGCTTGGGCAACAATTGATTTTGTGCTTGTCCAAAGCAGTGGGATCTCGGATCAAGACCTGAAAACAAAGAACACAACCTATTAATTATGCACATACACAACCTACTCGAGAGAAAATGTCTCTACAGTTTTTCCTTGCATGAATCCGTTCAAGTTATCAGCATCAATCATACGGAGAAACTGAATGTATGTGCATCATAGCATACCTTTAAGGTGTTCCCGGACGAATTCAAACGATTTACAGTACTTCAAGCAAATCCCATAAGTTGGTCCATGACGTGAATGGTAAGAGTTCTTCATGTGCTCAACTAGTTGCTCGTGTCTATCGAACATGTGGTAGCATGCAAAGCATTTGTGCGAGGGTAGTGTGTAATCATCATCATCATCCATTTTGCTTAAATCATAAACACAAACACAGTAACTCAAACAAACTGAATTATTATTTTGGTCAAAAATTAGCTTTAGGTTTGTACTGGAAATGTGCATACCTAACATATAGAAGAATAATACATATAAGTCTATAGAGTTTTGTTTAATAATATGTTCATCTGACAAAATATTTTGGTTTTGATGTCAACTGTTTCTTTTAACAGATCAAGAAAACTAAAAAACAGATCAACTAGTTTGTCAGATAATATTTTTAGTATCTCCGTTTGGTTGAACTGATAAGCTACCTAAGAACGGTATATCGAAAGGTGAATGGGGATAAGGTAATCCAATAACGTAAAATTTGATAACAAATGATCACTTTCACAAACTACTTCGACGA